AGGGCATGCGCAAGAAAAATCTGAATCGATAGATGTAAATGATCAAGATGAGCATACTTTCAAATCAATCAAAAGCAATGATTCTGTTAGTGAATGCCTTGAATTTGAGAGCTTTGTAAATTCAAATGAACGTAACGAAGGCGAAAGCATCTCAGAATCTGCTGAAAATGAATTGAATCGAAATATTTCTAATGATACGAAAGAAAACACGTTTGACCCTGGGACAGTTGTTGGTCCTAATCTCAGCATTAGCAAAAAAAGGCGTTTACTTAAAATGAATCCATGCCAACCATCCCAGTTTGTTTTGAAACAAAGGAGGAGAGTACAAGGAGATCGCACTCGCTATTGCTCCCAGCAGGATTTTTTCCACGATGATGGAACAAGACAAATATGAATTTCCTATTCTCTAAGTGAAGACAGCTTGTTTTGCATACCATGCATTCTGTTTACAGATGTAACGTCTAGGGGAGAAAATATTCGGTCAAATCAAGGAATAGCTTTTGCAAACTTTAGTTTCTCCAAAGGGAAAAAGCAGTATATTAGAATTCTGGAGCATGAAAAATGCAATTCTCAACTAAACGCAAGAGTTGCAGAAGCTCTTTTCCTTCAAGAAAACTCAATATCGAATCAGTTTCATCACTAGGGGAGAATCGAGTCTGAAAGACGTAAAAAGGAAGTTATTTTAAACAAAACAGTTTTGAAACGTGTGATAGATGCTATTATGTTTCTTGGAAGACAAGGGCGTTCCTTTAGGGGTCACTGTGAATCACTGACAAATTTCTATTTTAATAAATGAAACTTTTTGGAAACGCTTAAATTATTGTCAGAGTACGATCAACCAATCAATGAGCATCTTGAGAAAGTTTGTGATCACCAAGGGAAGCAATCGACAAAGGATGGTGGTAAAACTGATGGAAAAGGATTCAATGGACGTGGCTCATGGCTAACGTTTTTGAGCAACGATATTCAAAATAAGTTAATCAATATCATTGGTAAAGAAATAACTTCTGTAATAGTACAAAAAATACGCAACTTCAAAGCATGGGCATTGATTGCTGATACAACACCCGATATAACTCATACAGAGCAATTGAGTATATGCGTAAGGCTTGTTAATGAAATTGGCGAGTGTTCTGAACACGTTTTGTCATGCCAAAAAGCAATTGGAACAACTGCACATGACCTATACACTGCTATTACAACAATATTACAATTGCATGGAGTTTCATTTGAAAAGCTTGTTGCCCAAACGTATGACGGAGCATCCAGTATTAGCGGATGTTATAATGGTTTGCAGGCATTTGTAAAAGAGAAAATCGGAAACCACATCATCTATGTTCACTGCTATGCGCATACGCTAAATCTCGTCTTGTCTAATTGAGCTTGTGTTGCTATTGATGTCATTACTTTTTGACTCTCTCGAAAACGGCACGTTCTCTTTAATAATTCTCATGAAGTACACGAATTGTTTCAATTGGTTCAAAATAATGAAAACCTCAAAATTTCTTCAATTAATTGTCTTAATACAGTTCGACGGAATGCAAAAGAATTTTGTCTAAACGTATTTTAGAGGTTCGAGTGCATTTATGCGAGTGCTCCAAAAAGTGGCTGAGGAAAGATCGTTCACTGAAAGTCAGCGAGCAACAACAAATGGATTGCAAGCAGCTTTTCAGACAAAGCAATTTGTTGCAACTGCCTGTCTTTTCCAAGAAATTTTTGGAATTACTGGACCTTTAAGTCGATATCTACAGAGCGTAAATGCTGACTTTGGAAAAGCAATGGATATGGTTGATAGCTCAATTTCTAGAATTCAAATCATACGTGACAAACCAGAAAAAATCATTGAAATGTCCGATTCTTTTACGTTAGATGTCGAATGGAGGTCTACACGACCTCGTCGTCGACGACCAATGGAAGGAGAACAAGCCAGAGATGATTTGGAGGATTCACTAAAAGCACAATGGAGGCGAGACACATTCTATAAAGTGCTAGATTCCATTCAATCTTCAATGAAGAATCGTTTTGAAAAGAATCGGCCACTAATGAAATCATTTGCTTTATTCGGACCTAATCAATTTGACGAGCTCTCGAGCAAGTACAAGACATCTCACGATCTTCAATCAGCAGTGAAAGCCTTTTGTGATTGTATAAGATAGATTCCCAAAGATGCGCTACTGAACTGTTAAGCTTGGCAGAAACATTTAAAAAATTTCACTGTTCTCAGTTTACAACTCAAACTGACCATAATCATAATAAGCAGAACTTTGAAAGTATTGATGATGGTGATGATGATGATGACGAAAATCATTCTGATACTGACATAAGTAAGCATTCGAATAATGCGTCAATTACCGAGAAGGCTACCGTCATTCTTAGATGCCATGAAGCTGCTTTGTTTTCCAAAGTACCATTTAGTCGACGCATACCCAACATTATGCAAAGTTTATTCAATTGCAGTGGCCGTACCCATTAGCTCAGCAACTGCTGAACGTTCTTTTTCTTCGCTGAAGAGAGTAAAAACGAGGATTCGATCTACGATGGTACAGGAACGCCTGGAATCATTTCTTTTAAGGGAAGTTGAAAGGGAAACTCTCCTTTCTATAGACAAAGATAGAATCATAACTTTACTTGGGAAAACCTCCCCAACGCTTGCAAAGGCATTAATATAAATATATTTTTCTATGAAAAACAAATAATGTAACAGACATATAATTGCTTGATGATACTTGGTTTTTAAGTTACTTTCTTTTTTATGAAGATTCATGTTTGTGTTTTATAAAATAAAAATAGCTAAAATACTTGAAAATAGCTATAACAAAAGGTGAAAGGGGCGCAAAATTTGTGTTGGCCACCGCAGTAAAAACTACGCCACCACGCCACTGCTTCAAAGGAGAGTATACCTGAATCCAGGGCCACATCATTGTTGGCGCGCTGACGGATATGATAAATTGAAACCTTTTGGATTCCCAATTCACGGATTGCATTGATCGACGCATCATGTGGCTTGAGATCACAAAAAGCAATAATAATCCTAATGTTATTGCAAACTTGTTTCTAAACTGTGTAAAAGAACAACAAACCTGCCCAACAACCATAAGAACTGACGGATAAGACTGAGGGACGGACAATCGCCTAATGGCTACAGCTCAGAGTTTTTTACGACGCACTCACCACGATGTAATCTCTGGATTAAAGGCTCATCAATATGGCTCTTCCCATAGCAATCAAAGAATTGAAGCGTGGTGGGCTTTGCTGCGTCGATCATGGACATCGTGGTGGATAAACTTTTTCAAAGACCTTGTGGCTAATGGGATTTTGGACACAAGTAAAAAATTGCATGTCGAATGTCTTTGGTTTTCATTTATTAATGTAATGAAACAAAGTCTTAATGACATTAAAGAGTCGTGGAACAGTCATTACGTTCGTAGGTCGCGGTACCACACAGCCCACGGCATACCCAACCAGCTTTTCTTTTTGCCTGAGTCTGTTCATGCATCGGATTGCAAAAAGATCAATCTTCATCGAGACATTTTAGAAATTGAGCGCCTTATTAACCTACCAAATAACCACGAATCACGCACATATCAAGAATACTTTGCTTACAACTCGGCTATACTGGGATTGGGGGATCCACAGAACTGGAGGGAAAGCCTGGCAGTATTTCGGAGATTGGTGGCAGAAGCTGAGTAGCAATTAAACTTTTTTTATTGAAACATGAACTACAATAATTCCAAGCAGAAACTTTTCTCTGGTTACACAATATACAGTTCAATTTATTATATGGCAAGCGTCACTTCCGGCAAAATGGCGTGCTTTGATTGGCTCAGAAACATTTTACCCGTCCATTATTTTCCCGTACTCGACCATTGTCCAAAACGCGTAATTTTTTACAATCAAATGTAAACAAACTTCGTAAACAGCAAAACGCAAAATAATCGGAACAAAAAACCATTTACGAATGTGACTCGAAGGAAAAACACTTGGAAAACAGTTTAACTATCCTGACGATACAGTTTGAAACGATTTACTTTTTATAAACGAAAACTAGAAAAGTGAAAGCCAGCCAACCGGTAAAAAACAGCAAGGACGAGAAAGAAAGCAAGCTTTGTTTCATGTTAAATAATGCCATATAATAAACTTTTAAAGTTCTTATATTACGAATTTTACCCCCCCCCCTTTTTTATGAGCTTAATTAAAAATTTGGATTATTTGAAGAACTATGACATGTCGCTGGACTTAAACAGATAAACATAAGTTCCTTAATTTTGCCTCCAAAGTCGGGTACTATTTGCGAATTTTTTACGACGCCATATTGATACTTGTGACGTAGATAGTTGAACACGTCTGTTTCCGTCAATATAATATTATATTATAGGAGGTGATTTTGTTGTCGTTTTTCTTGTCTTAAAAACAAATAATGACATTATTTTCAATAAAATATTAAAAACAAGTTTCCGGAAAGTATGGCCTCAAATCAGTGCTCAGATAATTCGAATTCGATGTCTGAATGCGTATCTGATTCGAGCTCGGAATCCGTGGGTTATGTCGAGCATTTAAACGACTTCGCATATGACGATGAACCGCTCGCAGGAGATGGTGATGAAGTGCATACTCCAGATAATCCCGATGGAATTGTCCCTGCGACATTAGAACAACGAAGTGATGGCGTAATTCCACTCGGTGAATGGTAAGTTGTTGTTTTCTCCTGTTTGTAATATACATAAAGTTACTTTATAAACCTTAATGCTCCCACGTTTCAGGTGTAATTGTCAATGCTGTCATACCGATTTGTTAGAAGGCGCATTAGAGTACAGAAATAGGACCAGCTTTGCAGAAAATGACATTCGATGGCAGCATTGAGAAAATATCATGCATAACACAGCATGCCAAATTTGGGCCTTTAATTCATGAGGCTGTCCTTGAAAACGTCGGACCACTATTGAGAGATAGGAATGGACGTGCTTATCGCTGCCAACCATCACAATCATTAAATATGTAAGATTGTAAATTGTATGAGAAACAATGTTATCATCAACACTGTTTCATCAACACTGTTTCATCAACAATAATTAGTCCAACCTTTTTATTTACTTCAGGTACTTGAGAGCTGTGGCATACAGATGGTTGATGCGATGGTTTTGTGGGTCTATGGGATGGGAGAATACTCGGCCTTTACCTGCTTGTGTTTACCACTTTATTCGGAAAGCATATCCAAGTGGTAACACAAAAGGTTACATCCCATCAGAGGGGCGAAAGGTCTTTTAACTTGTGCACTGTAGAGACTGTTGACCTTCTATGCTGAGTTTAGAATGGTCAGGAAATATGCCTAGATGAAAACCAAATAGGAGATACATGGATGCACTATATAAGTTGACATGCAGTTTAATGGTTTGAAACAAGAGTAAACAATAAAAACAAATTGGTGCAATTACTGAGAGGTTAAGCTGAAAGAATTAAATGAAAAAAAATCTTTTCTTCAATGTCAGTCTGGGAAAAAAGAAAAAATAAAAAATATATGGAATTAAATCATAGCATAACTTGATGTATTACTTGCGGTATCTTCATCTAAATCTTCACTCTGACTAGACTCTTCGAAAGAGTAGTCCATGTATGATTCTCCTTCGAAAAGCTCTTCAGCACTCCCCTGCATTTCATCGTCTATATTAATGCTGGTCACCACGGATATATTACGATTTTCCCTGATTCCGCTTCGATATTCATTTTGCAACTTCTCGGCCTTTTTCTTCAAAGATGCTTTTGTCTTTTTATACCACCTTAAAGTCTTTTGTAAAGATGTAAGTTTTTTCTTAAGACGATGGCACGATTTACATGAAGACTGGGATTCACAAATATCTTCACCAACTGCATGTAGTTCTTCTTCAAATGGCGAATCGTTTGCTTCCCCAGTGCATACTTCAAAATGCTCAGCTCCATCACTAGTAGATGGTATTTCCTCATCGCGAGAACATGTTTCCTTCAGCGATGGCTTATGGAGAGTATGTCGAATAATCTACAAAACTTATATCGAATTTACATATGACAAAAGAAAAATTAACATAAACAAGCGTAAACTTACTTGTCTTCGCTTTCGATCGGTTATTTCGTCCTGTAATGGTTCAGGAATCCCAGCCACGTCAATGGTTGGGATAGCATCTTTCTTCAACCTTCTTTTGAGCTTGACTTGCACGCTCAAATTAAGGTCAAAACAAGAATCTTCAAAATGCGCAGAACACAGACACGAGGTAGACTGGAAACAGATGCATCGACATTCCTTCGGTTTTTGAATCATTGGCGCAACTAATTTGATTAGGTCCGCCAGCAACACAGCGTTTTCCTCCGCGTTTCTTATTAAGATTACTAATAGAATGCGCAATGTTGATATATGTGTTCAACTTTGTACGTCACAAGTCATTAGCATACCGATCAAAAAGTTCGCAAAAAAATGCTGAAAATCGTGTTTTTGAACGTCCGTAAAATCACTTTCACCAATCCAATTTCAATTATAATTGCAGATTTAAAATCACTGAAACAAGGTCTTTCAATTTAGCTAATAAAAAAGGGGGGGCTAAAATTCGTAATATAAACACTTTAAACAACCTCGCTTTCTCAGTCGTTACTGAGAAATATCGGACCTCTGTCTTTTTGTACAAACCTCGCCCTACAGGCTCGGTCTATACAAAAAAACTTCGGTCTGATATTTCTCCGTAAAGACCTCGCGCTCGGTTATTAAAGGCTTACCTTTTCCAAGCAAGAGTAAAAAAAATTAACAAGATTGATTTTGTATGCCAATGTCGCAGCGGATTGGAACTCCCCACAATTAAGGCTAGGCTTTGTGTCATGCAAAACACTAAGTTAGCTTTGGAAAAATTATTTGAGTCACAAACAAGTGCTACGATTTGTTGAGAACTATCAATGATGGAATTTTATATTGCTTATTGTTAATAGATATAGTTGAGATCAAACAGTATTGAGATCTCCCTAATATTAAGATGCAACGATGAAATAAACGAGGGGTCTCGACTCTAGCGAGGGAAGTTCAAACCAGTGAACGACAATTACAGCAGAGATAATGTTTATCTTTCCCGAACATAACATAAACATAACGTAGATTATCTTAGACAAAAGTTTGAAGACGTGCATGTTAACGAATTTTACAAGTAAACGAGAACTGTCGTACGACTAAAAAGTAAGCCACAATAGCAGTTATACCAAGCCCATTTCAATGTCTGGTTGAGACATAATACTGCACCATTCTTCTCGAAAATCGCAGAAATTATCGTAAGTGATTGGCAACTCTATAACAGCACCACAAGTATGAAATATAGGTCTCCGAGAGGTACCAGTAAGGGAAGAGAATGCGATTTCAAATTCTTCACATAAAATAACATCAGATCCAGTTGAGATACTTAAGAATTTAGCCATTCCGTTTGCATCCAAACCTTTGATCCACCTTTTAAGATAACCAACAGACTCATTTTCCACAGGAGTTTTCGGATCTGCCTTAATAAGTTTGCAGACTTCCTGTGTACTAGGATGGAGCGACTCGTACATCTGAAACAGGACGTCTGTCGACATAATGTGTGGTTTTAGCAAATGCAAGACGTCCAGCCAGCAATCCGCCACGTATCGCGGTTTTTGCACAAGTTCCTTGTGAGCAATTTCAACAACCAATTCTTTAAAATTTTCATTAGTTGCTATTTTTTTGCACTCAAACGCTGTTAAAGAATCCTGTACATCTTCATCATCAACTGCAGAGAATGAGAAAGTACATTTTCAACCACACTAGACTCAGTGGTCGAAATATACTTCATAAAGGAACTCAGATACATATCTTCTGAGACATAATCTTCACCAAAAAGACAGGAGCACAAGAAAACGCGAGAAATTTTGATTGGAAAATAGTGTCGGGATTTGCTTGCCCAACACAGAAAATCACTCTCACTGTTTCGTTTTAAAAGTATTTATTGTCACTCTCGCTTTAAACAATTACAATGTGCTATCGAATGCTCTACCATGCTGTACCCTTTTTCTTCTTTTCTTCAAGTGTTGTTGTTAACACTACCGGTACGAACCGGCCATTTCCGACTATGGTCTCGCGCGACCCACGCGTTAACTAAACTGTTTATCCTTTCCGACACCCTCCCCCCATTTGTCTCGCCAGTGACAAATGTCACTAAGAACTACTATCCTCAAAGTTTGAGACTTCCAGCATCCTCTCTCTTGCCACTACTGCTGCGCTTCTTCTAGGCCGGAATTCTTCCGCGTCTGGATCCAGGGTATTGTTTTCTGTGGCTACTTTTGCATCTTCTACTCTATGTAGTTCTAATGGGAATAGATGCTGTGGTGCCCGGTCAATATGCGTTTTCCGTGTTTTAATCTTTGCTCCCGAACAACTCCATCCTCATACAGTTCCTCTACGATACCTACACTCCATTTTCCTCGATTTCTTTCTTCTCCTTTTATTAGCACTACGTCACCCACTTCTGGAGATTTTCCCATTTTTCCATGTTTCAGGTTATGTCTCTCTTAATGATCTTAGATACTCCCCGTCCACCTCTTCCATGGCTTTCTTACATCGCTGAATATGTTTTGCTCTTTTCTTAATTCCTCTTCTTCACTTGCTTCATCATTTTCAATCACTGAGACGGACGGTTGGCCAGTTATCATGGCATTTGGTGTAAGAATTGGCAATTCGTGGTCGTCTTCCACATACGCTAGAGGTCTATTGTTTAGACCAGGGGTCTCCAAACTACGGCCCGTTGGGCTTCTCAATCCGGCCCGCAGAGGCACTTAAGAAAAAATAATATTATTAAACAAAATAAACTTTGTGCAGAAAGTTCACGTTATGTCGCAAGCCAACTAGCAAGAGTGGCTTACGTCAATTTTTCTCCCAACTTCCTACTTCCGTTTCAAGCACATTGTGAAATTTAAAAAGCTGAAGGATGACGTGGAAATTTTTTATATTCTTCGGCCCTCAACATGCTTGATGAAAGTTCATGTGGCCCTCTGGCTGTAAGGTTTGGAGACCCCTGGTTTAGACATATCTCCACATCAAGGATTACCCCTTCCAATTCTTTCCATGTGAGGCTTGATCGACCTACTACTTTATAAAATGCTTGTTTCACCAATCCTATCAGTCTTTCATACTGTCCACCCCACCAAGGGGCCTTGCTTAGGTTGAATTGCCACTTGATATTGTTCTTGCCAAAATAGTCATGAACTTGTTCATCTTTTGAGATTTTTCGTACACGTTTGGCTGCGGCCACAAAGGTCTTGGCATTATCTGAGTACACCTTATCTGCCTTGCCACGTCAAGCAACTAACTTCTTGAAGCTATGCATGAATTCTTCTGTTGACATATCTGGTGGCATTTCCAATTGAACCGCTCTTGTTAGGCTGCATCCCACGAGGAGTAGGTACGCTTTTCCTTCTTTACCTGCTCGTTTCTTATAGATGAACGGACCTGCGTAATCCACACCTATGACTTGGAATGGCCGTGATCCTTCTGTGCGGTCCTTTGGGAGGTTGCCAGTGGGTGGTTTGGCGAATGCACTCGCTTGGAACCTCTTGCAACCGTTGCATCTGCTTCTGACCTTTTTTGTGAGTTGTCGAAGACGTGGTATACAGTAATATTCCCTCACTGCAGTCATTGTCAGACTGACTCCCCCATGGAGAGTGCGTAAATGTTCGTGCATGACCAACTTCTTTGCCAATTCGGACTCTGGTGGAATGTAGATCGGGCATTCTCCTTGCATCCTTCCGCGACATTCAAGCACTCCTTCCTCATTTTTCTTAAGGTTTAAGCGTTGAGTGTCTTCTCTCATCTGATCCGAGTTTTCAAAGCGCAGCTGTTCTCTTTTCACCCACCAGAGAACTTGTGGTTGTAGCTCGTTAGTCGTGAGTGGACCCCGTCGACGTTGCTGTTTTTTCTTGAGGTTATACACGAACCTGAACACCCATGCTGTTATTCTCATGGTTTTCCAATAGGGGTATTTCGCCAAGATTGCTGAAAACCTGTCCTCCTCTAGTTGAACTGCAGGCATGAAGACTTCTTTGCAATTCTTTACTTCCGCTTCCGTCTCAACTGTAGCTTCTATGGTTACTTCCCTTGGCCATTTTTCAGGGTCGGAAAGCCATTTTGGTCCTTCAAGCCACTTTTCAGACAACTGATATCCGTTGCAGCCTCGGCTTCCAATATTGGCGGGATTATCTTTTGTTCCCACGTGCTTTCATGAAATGTAATTCTTTTCTCTAATCACCTTTACCCGATTTGCTACGAATTGCTTGTAATTTCCACTTCCATTTATCCAGTATAAGGCAACCATGCTGTCAAGCCATCCAACACAATGCCTTACAGGCAACCCTTCAAGAACGGATCGCACGTTGTCCATCAGCCTTGCCGCCATTTGAGCAGAGACTAACTCAAGTCTTGGAATGCTCAACCCTTTCTTTGCCAATCTTGATTTAGCTGTTATGAGTCCTTGACCGATACCCCTGCCTTGTAGGATAACTGCATACACGGCTGCTGACGTACCTTGGCCACTAGCATCTCCAAATGCGTGCAAATCTATGGCTTGTATCCTTTCTCTGCGTGTGACTAAACTTCTGGGCGCTTCAATTATACTTGGTACTCTAGTACACCAGTTGCGCCAACGGTGCATCAGGTTATCAGAAAGTTGTTTGTCCCAGGGTAAATTAGCTTCACAGATGTCCCTATAGATCATCTTTCCAAGTACACTAATTGGCGAAACTAAACCGAGAGGATCAAAGATTGAAGCAATTTCGCTAAGTACTATCCGTTTTGTTACGTTTTCTTCGTTGAATTTTTCGGGGAAATGGACACCGATTGTATCTTTGCTTTTGTTCCAAGGCATACCCAATAGTTTTGCCTCATTTTCTCTAACGCCCAGTCGTTGGTTAGCGTAACTTTGATCGACCGCTGCGTCGCTGACCACTGGCTCGCTCACCTCCAGTTCATTAAGATTTGAGTGCCATTTGTGCAGAGTGAATTTAGCTCTATCAAAGATCTCGATTGCGGTTTCTTTCTACTGTTGTACTTC